ATAAATATAAATAAATCCAAATATAAACATAAACATATGTGCCTGACTACAGTGATGTCACAGTCTTATGGTACTAGGGATATAGGGGAAAGCAGGGATATAGGCAGAAATATCAGTGTAATGGTGAGTTTAAGTATTTCATGGAGTCATTACTGGCAATAGTGGAGGAACAAAGGAGGGAGTCATCAGTTGACTCTAGTTGAAGGAGTAGGTCAAGAAAGGATGGAGAGAGGCGATGTTGCCTTTGCTGAGTCTTGAAAGGTGAGGAGGGATTTGTCATGCAGACACACCAGGAAAGGTCATTTCAGGAAGTGGCACTGTGTTGGTAAAGGCCCAGAGCTGGGAGACACACATCGAGTGTTTGGAAAGCATGAGTGGTTTACCGTGGCCAGACCTCAGCTGAGATGGGCTGAGTAGTGAGAGATGAAGGTAGAGGACCATGGTGATCACACACAGCATTTTCCAACATGCTAAGAACTTTGGACTTTATACAGATAATGAGGAAATAACTGTAAAAGACATACTTTTAAGCTGTCTGCTCTGTGTTCAATCCTGTTGTCTAGAGCTTCTTCCCTTCATTGTCACCCCATCCCTTGGAGGTACTTGAAAGCCATGTAAATATTTCTTGCCCCCTGTCCTTCTTGGGCTGTAACTGATTAGACCAGCGGTGTCCACCTAACTCATTCCAGTCCTACTGGATCTCTCTCCCAAGAATTTGGAATTAGGAATCAGAGACTATGCTTAGTCTGTTCTACTTACTCCCTCTAAATTTAGAATTGGTGGTCATGATTATGTGGACAGTGTCCATGGTATCTGGCCTGCAGAGAGGGAATAATGGAGTAGACATGCATAGGATGAACATGTGGCTTCATTTCCTCCAGGGGGCACCTGGATGTACTGATGTATTTATATAAATTGCCTTCCCTTAAGGTCTTCAGTGACTCTTTAAGTTATGGCAAAGAAAAGAAAGGATCCTGAAAGCTGTGCCATTTGGTTAGGCTGGTTTCTGTAGCACAGGCAGAGGGCTATGTCCTCCAAGGAGGTGTCATGGTTTTAAGAATGTGTAGGCCATTCAGTTCTCATTAGAAAGTTCTATTCTAATGGCTTCAGGGAGCTAGCTAGTTTCTGAGATACCAGGCTGAGTATGTGGTTTACACATCATACTAATGTAAATGTTAGAACCTTATTATGAAAATACCATCTTGGTGGAATGACGTTTCTTGTGGGAAGGAAATGTAATAGCTCCCAAATCTGTAGGAAAGTGTTTTCAAGGGTTTTGTTTCTTTGCTTTCACTGACTGCTGTGTTGTATGAAATTTTTTAAAGTATTCTTATTTCTGATGGAGGTGAGCTTGACAGTAGCAACCCTGGAAGCTACTGCAGAACATGCTGTTTTATTTTAAAGATTCCCACGTACATTGTATCTATGTATTCTTGTAGGTCACTCTACTCGACTGCGCACAGAATTCAACAGAACCTGCCCAGTCGAGTCTGTATGAGGCCAGAGATGTGGAAGTAGCTCGCTGTGGGGCGTTGGCACTGTGGAGCTGCAGTAAGAGTCATGCCAATAAAGAAGCTATTCTCAAAGCTGGGGGTATTCCATTGTTGGCTTGTTTACTGAAGACTTCTCACGAGAACATGTTGATTCCGGTGGTGGGGACACTGCAGGAATGTGCATCAGAGGTACTCAAGTCAGCTCTGTTTCCCTTGACTTTCCTTAGTTGAAAACTAATTGTTAAGGTTAATTTTCTTATTTAAAAAATCAGCATTCTATTAGAAAAAGAAAGTCAAGCTAACGGAACATGAATTAAATTGGTAGCTGTGTGATGTATTTTTGAAACTGTTGACTAAATTCTCTTATTGTTACATAGTTATGTTGACCTTGACTTTATTGTTTATTTACTAGGAAAGTTTGTTAATATACTTTTATATAATAATATATATAACAATATAATTATAAAATAATAATTATTAATAAATGTAAATACTCATGTTCATACATTACACACACATGTGTAATGTGTGGGAAGGAAATGTAAAAGCTCCCAAATCTGTAGGAAAGTGTTTTCAAGGGTTTTGTTCCTTTGCTTTCACTGACTGCTGCATTCAAATTTATATTTCTAGAAAAACTACCGAGCTGCAATCAAAGCAGAAAGAATAATTGAAAATCTAGTAAAGAACCTAAATAGTGAGAATGAGCAACTGCAAGAGCACTGTGCCATGGCCATCTACCAGGTACCGTGGGCTCTGCGGCCAGCTGTGGTGTTCTTCAAGAAGTTTAAGGCAGGGTTTCTAAACAGGAGCTTTCGTTCTCTGGGGATGGGACTCAGGAATGTGCATTTTAACAAGAACCCCAAAGGATTTTCATGCACACATGGGTCTGAGAATTAGCACACACTGTCCAATACTAATAACAGATACCCATATACATGACAGAGAAACCTGCTCCAACAGGTCTTAATTATGTACATTTCTAGAAGGGACTTATATATCTTTGTCTGCTAAAAAGAGAAACTTAGTATAAAATAGCTAAATTATATGTACATGGTACCTCTGTACTGCTTTTCATATATGCTATTCAAACACAATGGTCTTGGGTCATTTATCTCCTACAAAGACAAGATGGATGAATGAATACGTGCATGATTGTGTGTACCCCTGTTTTATCTTCTTATTAATTTACTTATTGAATCTTCATTAACTTTTTGTGGGTCATAAATTTCATAGCATACTGCAAAATAGATTAGAATGGTAAATGGGAAGAAGAGATGGCCTTGACAAATTAGGATATGGCTGGTTCCTGGCCATACCAACTTCTGCCTAATCGAAGTAAATTTCCTAGAGGAATGCATTTTAAATGTTCAAAGTGAGAGTGCACCCAAAAGATAGTATCAGAGAAGAGGCTTATGTCAGCAGAGGATTATTTTAGTTTGCTAGGGCTGCCATGACAAAGCACCACACCCTAGGTGGTCTAAACAGGAACTTGCGGCCTTATAGTTCTGGAGGCTAAAACACTGAGATGGATGTGTTGACAGAACTGGTCTCCTCCTTGGTCTTTCCAGAGAACTGCCTCCTGGGCTTGCAGAAGGCCGCCTTCATGTTCATGCGTCATTCTCCTGTCTACACATGGGCCTTCCTCTGTATCCTGATACCTTCTTCTTATAAGAATGCCAGTCATACTGGAGTAGACACCCCCCTCAATGACCTTATTTAACCTTAATTACCTCTTCAAAGACCCCGTCTTCAAATACTGTCACCTTCTGGTACAGGGTTTAGATCTTCAACAAGTGAGTTTTGAGGGGACACAACTCAGCTCATAATAAGGATAAATAGGTTTGATTTGTATATATGCCTCATATGCATAACCATTAAGGGACAGTTAGAATAGTGACTAAATTTTTAAAGTTGCAAATGAACCAGAACCAAAAGTCACAAATAGAAGATAAACGTGGTGGGTGCCTTGTGGATGAGGATTTCTTCTAGTGGCCCTCACGGATGTTGCATGATATGCATCTGTATCACATGGCCTCAGAGACCAACTGTATGCCTAGAAGACTAGCAAACCCATACCTAAGTGACCATCTTTTGGCTCTATAACATGAGGAGGATGATCAGTTGGGAACATCTAAGAAGTACATATTTATTTCAGGGGCTGGCACAATCCCATGGATAGACATTTTTTAATAAAACATCTGTTGTTATTGATATAACCCACTGCTCTGGACATCGAAACTCTTAGGGAAATTTCCTCATCTCTTAGGCTTTGGGGTTATTGAAAATCTGAATCCCTATCATCTATCTTCTATGTTTTCCGAAGACTCTGGGTTGCCTCACTGCAGAAATGCTGCACCCATCATTCGGCATTCTAAGTTTCTTACTGACCTCTGCCTCTGTCTTGGCAGAAGCACAGGCTACCTCAAAACTGGCTTGGGAGAACTGCCAAGTATGTAGAAACTGCTAAACGCTGCCAAAACCATGTAAGGGAAGAAAGACACTGTCAGATAGCTGCCAGTAGAGAGAAGAATTATATTTTACTTGGAGGCTCCTTTAGAAAATGATACTTTGAAAAGAAGTTTCATAGTTACTAGAATGGCAGCCTCTTTAGCAATCACTGAAAGCTTAACGTGCCTGGTCACTGACAGCCTGATTTGACTTTTTGTGTAGTGTGCTGAAGATGAGGAAACCCGCGACCTGGTCAGGCTGCACAGAGGACTTAAGCCCCTGGCCAGTCTGCTCAATAACACCGACAACAAGAAACGGCTGGCTGCTGTCACAGGGGCAATATGGAAATGTTCCATCAGCAAGGAGAATGTGACCAAGTAAGAGAAGGCATTCCATATTCTGTAGTAAAAATATGGCCACTGAGCACATTCTTATAATTTAATGCTATTTTAACAAAGAGTCAATTTGAATGCCACTCCTGTTAATTTTCATAGGCGTACATTCTGGACTAAGCTGGCAGAATTAAGAGAGTTTTAGAAATGAAAGCCCCCCTACTTCCCACTCCACCCCCTGGCAATGGTTTTCTGTCGCTCAGTAGGGATAAGAGGCTTGCTAACAATCTGTCTGTGCAAATGGACTGTTTTGCTTATGGGCATCCATTTTAATGAGAAATATCTCTGATATTTCCTAAAAAGACCTACCAACACGAGGGGATGAATTTCCCCCTGAGTCTTTAGAGATGGAAGTGGTTCTTTTCTCTTCCTTTTCTAAAGGTAAACAAGATGAGTCAGCTAAATACCAGCTAAATAGTTAATCCTAAAGAGTAGCCATTTTCAAATAAGATTGCATTGAATTATAAAGTATTTGTAAACTTTATGACCACTTGATTTATTTTAATCTTCAAATGTATCCCTTCATCTCACACTCTGATGGATGTTCTGAGGCAGCTCCTCCTCATCTCAGTATGGTGATTTTCTTTTAACCAGAAGTTCACATCCTATTTAATACAAAATTGGCTTATTTGCTCTGTTTATGTAAAATAGTCCCTGTAACATGGGGGAAGACCCTTAACATAGTGGAATCCTTGATGCCCAGATATGGGAGAAGTTATAGTTGTTTTAGAGGCTGTACAGTATAGTGGTCAAAGGCACAGATGGCTAGATGCAGATGTCGACTTCACTATTTATGAAGCTTCAGATTAGCTTTCTGAAAATGGGGATTATAATAGTATGCACAGCATAAGGGTTCTGTAAGGATTGAATAAGCATATAGTTGGCATTTAGTTATTTTTGGCTGTTAATATTATTACTATTAATATTACTCTCAGCTAACATGATACCAAAAGTAAAACTATTTCCCTCTCTCCCTTCCATCCTCCCTCTTTTTCTTGTGATGAACTTAGGTTTCGGGAATACAAAGCCATTGAAACCTTGGTGGGACTTTTAACTGACCAACCTGAAGAAGTACTTGTGAATGTGGTTGGTGCATTGGGAGAATGCTGCCAGGAATATGAAAACCGAGTCCTTATCCGGAAGTGTGGTGGCATCCAACCACTTGTGAACCTCCTCGTTGGCATAAACCAAGCTCTTCTTGTCAATGTCACAAAAGCAGTTGGCGCTTGTGCAGCAGAACCTGAAAGTATGATGTAAGTGGCCCTGGACACAGACAGATTTTAAGAGTGTTGGGGAAAACACTTGAATAGTCATGGAAGAGCATCATCAGTTAGAATTGGTAATGCAAGAATAATGAAAAAGTAGTAAGTATTCACACATGAATAACCACAAAGTTACCAAATCATGACTCACAGAGTCAAATTGTTCTCTCGGATGATCTGGAGGACTGAGGCTAGGCATACCCAGAGGACTTAACATTCCCAGTAATCAATGCAGGAACCTTAATACAAGTAACCAAATTTTTCTTTGCCTTCTGGGATAGAATTCTCTATCTAGCTGAGGTCTTAGGTAGGCCTAGGCAGCATTCTCACAGCATCCTCCTTGTCTCTCAATGCAATGCAGCAAACATATTTTGAATATGTAACAACAGCTGTGAACTGATGATAGGAAGAGACAATGGATTTTTTTTAACTATGATCTTGGTCCTTGAGCAGATTCTCATCTAATCAGGAAGAAAAGAGTTAAATGTGGTACAATTTAAGAAAAATAGCAAGATTATATAGAGATTTTATATATGAGTCCAGAAAGGGAGGAACCCATGTGGGTCAAAGCTGTATTAGGTTCTCCAGAGAATCAGGACCGAAGGTCTGTGTTTAGAGAGAGAGGGTGAAAGATAGATTTATTTCAAGGAAGTGGCTCCTATGGTTGTGGAGGCTTGGCAAATTCAAATTCTGGTGGGCAGAGTCTTAGGGAAGAGTTGTGGTTTGAGTTCAAAGACAGTCTGCTGGCAGAATTCCTTCTTGCTCAGGGAGGTCAGTCTTTGTTCTAGTAAGGCTTTCAACTGATGGGATGAGGCCCACCAACATTATGGAAGACAATCTGCATTATTCATAGTCCACCAATTTAAATGTTAATCTCATCTAAAATAAACACCTTCACAGAAATATGCAGAATAATATTTGACCAAATATCTGGGCATACCCTTAGCCCAGGCAAGTTGATGCATAAAACATAATCATTATACATCTACCCTTTGTCAACTTGATACTCATACATATCTCCTTAAGTCATACTTAATCTCTGGATAAAGACAATCACAAGGTCATACTTCTACCTAACTCTATACAACTATCCTACATACAACCAAAAATGCACTAACTCTTTTCCCTGAAGAGGAAACAAAGTTCTTGAGTGGTATTTCCTCTTCTCTTTGATATCTCATAACTCAAATACTATGATTTATGTGAATATGAATTTATGAATATGTGAAGTTAACAATATTTGAAAACTATGATATAAAGTCAATTCATCTCGTGTAACATGATAAGAGGATAATAGAAGGAAGACAAAGGGATACACACACATTCATAACAAAATAAGGAAGGAATACTCATAACTATTACAACCTGCATTTCTGTGGCCACATGGTTGTAGCTAGTAGTTGTAATTACTGTATTTCATTACCCATTTTGTATTCCTTTTGCCCTCAGCAAGTACTTTAGCTGGCTGTGGATCTCTACCTGTACAGGGAACAAAACCTTCATTCCTGAAGGGTCTGGGCCATTAGTAATCCTGCCTGAATTAGGTTATTGCAGTTTTCCATTGACTTTAATCACAGGGCATGGCTGTGCTTAACAGATGTCCTAAAGGACCTCTTGTATTTCAGACATACTATTTCTTACCTCCTTGTACTATAGCAGTCCAAATTCCCCTTGGTATTCAGTCCCCTCAGCCAGTATTAACTCCCTTTTTGCCTGTTTATTCAGAGACATAAGGAGCTCAAAGTGGCCCAGTGACAGTCTTCACTTCCAGTTAGATGGAATCATGTCTCTTGGGGAAGCATTCTTCCCTTTGGAACTAAGACCTCTAGACCAGCAGAGCATAAGGTCACAGGGATAGGAAGCAAACATTTTGCTAGTGGGTCGCTAGGGTTAACTGTGTGGTATCACTCCCATTTCCATACATTGATTCCTGGACCCATCCATCCAGGCTATGGGAGAAATAGCACCATATTGTTTGCAGCTAGATAGCTCTATTGGCCTATCCTGTAGACTGTCAGAGAGCTGATAATCTTCATTCATTTATCCCACCTCTGCCCACTTCAGTAAGATGACAGCATTTCTGCTCAGGCTTGTTGATTGGATCCATGAGTCACACCTGTAATTTCTTTATCATGTGACTGCCCAGCCACACCCTTGGTATTCTCTCCAGAACATATTTTCTCATTTTTTTTTGCAATATGGATAGGTTGAAATTCTTCCAGATTTTCAAGTTATGGTTCCTTTTTTTTTTAGAAGAGCAAATGAGAGGCTTTTATTTAGAGATAAAGTGAGAGAACAGAGCTCCTGGCTCAGGCCAGGAGGGGACAAGAAAGTCCCCTATGGTTCCTTTTTGTTTAACAGTTCCTTCTTTGATTTATGTGTCTCCTCTTGCATTTTATTGTAAGTAGTAAGAAGAAACCAGGCCACACCTTCAACACTTTTCTTAAAAATCTCTTCTTCTAAGTGTCCAAATTGATGACTCAGAAGTTCTGCTAGAACACAGTTCAGCCAAGTTCTTTGCTACTTTGTAACAAGGATCACCTCTCCTCCAGTTCCAGTGAGCAACTCCTCACTTCCACCCAGGATTACCTTGAGCACCCACATTTCCATCAGCAGTCTATGCAAGGAAATCAAAGCTTTGTCTAACATGCACCTCCAGCTCTTCTGGCCTCTACCCATTACCCAATTCCAAAGCCACTTCCACATTGTTAGGTATTTGTTATAAGCAGAACTTTCCAGGACAAAAAGTCTATTAGTTTGGTGGGGCTCCATAACAAAATATCACAGACTGGGGGTGCTTACACAACAGAAATGTATTTTCTCACAGTTTTGGAGGTTGGAAGTCCAAGATCAAGGTGCTATCAGGGCTGGTTTCTCCAAAGCTCTCTTGGCTTGCATATGGCTTCCCTCTTGCTGCCTTCTGTGATTGTCCCTTTGTGCAGGTATGCGCCTAGCGTCTTCCTCTGTGTCCTAATCTCTTTTTATAAGGACAGCAGTCAGACTGGATTAAGGCTCACCCTAAGGACCCCATTTGAATTTAACCACTTCTTTAAAGGCCATATCTCCAAATACAGGCACATTTTAGTGCTGTATAGAGGACTTTAACATATGAACATATGGGGGACACAATTCAGTCCATAGCAATTGTCATATTGAGTTCTCCAGATGAGGTGAGTTAAGTGTACATTTCATGAATAAAACCTATTTGAATGGGTGGAAGAGTAGGGAAGCATTGCTGAGGGACACATGAATAGTGATCTGAGCAATGAGACAGCTTGCAAAAAATGCAAAGGCCAATCTGAGGATGAGGAAAGCAGAAGACAGAGTCAACAAATAAGATAAGGCCAAGCAAAGGGGAAACCTAGGTGGCTTATTTATCTTCCTGAAGTCTCAGTAATACCCCTTCCTGTAGTTATGTGGACATTTAGCCTAGCAGGTGCCATGGAGGAGACCAGTCTCCATTCTGCCTCACTAGTCCTGTACGAAGGCAGAGTATGGGAGAGAAGTTTCCATCCAGTCTCGATAACCTGGCCCTACCCCAGCCTGAATCCTGTGACTCTCCAGATTCTATTGAGGAAAAGAGATAAGTGCCAAGTGATTCAAACAATGCTGATCAGAAGAATCTTCCAGGCATGAAGGAAATCATATAAACTTATAATATGTACTTAATAAATAGTGCAGAATTTTGTGACAGGGTAATATAAAGCTTACATATTTTAATAGGTTCATATTTTTACTTTGAGCTGTCTTTTAAATATGTATTAATATAATTCAATATTAACAATTTCTATTAATTTTATGATATTATTACATGTTAATAATTAAATATATATATCTTATATAATTTTATAGCGATTCATTCTTCATTCATTCAACTCATTCAATATCTGTGTCCAAGCAGGGCTGCTGTGTACAAGTTTACCCTGCACAACTCTAGGGGGCGCCATTCACATAGACATGCACAGAGCACCATACATCGTGTGGCCATACACTGAACCCCACCAATGTGCAGCTTACTGTCTGTTTCCCTGTTTGATCACTACGGAAGGTCTACTCCCTGTACCTATATCTCTGGTAGTACTGTCTTCCATCTGCCCACCTTCTTGGTATCTGAAAACAAGCACTATCTGTATTCAATCATTTAGGCCATCTTCCTTCATAGGAAGTCCCAAACTCTTAATATAGCCACTAAACTTTGTAAAAGTGATTCTCATTGAACTACATGTGTGGGACACAAGTACAAACGCCTCCACGACTCCTTTTGAATTTGGTTATTGGAGCGTTAGTTACAGGTATTTCCAACACTAAGGAACACTATTGCACACGTGATAACTTTAAGTGGACAATATTGGCTGGACTTATAAAACATTTTCTAATGTTTTTATCTTTTTGAATAAAATATGGTATTCATTAGAAACTGATAACACTTGTCAGAAAGGGCTTTATATTTTTTGGATCTTTGGCTCCTCTTTATTTTTTATCTACTCAAATCTACCAACTATCGTCAATCACTTCAGAACTCTTTTGACTGTATCTCCTCCTCTCTGCTCTCGGTTAAGGTTCTGTCGTGTTTTACCTGGAGTACTGAAGTAGGTCCTATCTGATGTCACCTCTTGTGCCTCTCTTCCCTTTCCATACCTTCCTGTACGGCACTGAAATTTATTCTTCTAAACTGTTAATCTGATGATATTGTTTCCTTGGCTCAAAGAACCTTAAGTGACTTCCCAATGCTTTAAAAAACTAAACCTAAGTTTCTTAGTCCAGTACTCAAAGCTTTGCTTTCTGGCCCAATTCTACCTCTCAAGCTTCATCTTTTCACTGCAAGTGTTAATTATCTAGGTTGTATTGTGATTTGTTTATTGCATATTCACTGAACACATATTTATAAAAAATCTGTTGTGCTAGCCACTGGAGATACAGTATAACTAAAACAAAGTTCATTCTCTCCTGGAGCTCATTCTATTGTGGATGTGGGACACAGACTATAAACT